TATACTATCTCGTTGAAATAGGGGCTGCGAGGAACGCCTGGTTTGTTAAAGCTAAAGAAGGGAGGGTAAGGGGAAGGAGATGGAGGTAGAAGAAGCAGAGGGAGGAGAGGGCAACAGGGGTCTCCCCCCCCTGCCACCCCCACCCACTAGCTTCTGGGAGATAGAAGATAAAACGAGACAGTCTATCGGGCAATGTTATGATGATGGAGTGATGCAGCTCGCTGCTAATTTGGGGAACGTGGTAATCGACGAGAGAGGGAAGCGCTTTAAGGTTACTGCGTCGTTGGATGCGATAAAGGAACGGTGGCTCAAAGAGCGGACGGTGATATTTATTTTTCAGGATGAAGCCAGAGATTTGCCTAGAGGGGTGAAAGAAGACTTGGTCAGATCGTACGAAGATTGGTGGTTCGCTCGGCGTCTGTTCCACCCAGAGGTCAGAAGGGGTAGGATCAAATTTGAAAGCCCCAATGTTGTATCGTATGTGGCGAAAGCGGTGGAGGTGGCAAATTGGCTGATACAGAAGGGCACAATTGTCTTGTCATTGCGAGGGAAGGAGTATCCAGCGTTAGTGAAGCCATGGATGCCTAAACTGGAATTGAAGGAGCTGAAGCTGAGGGAAGCAGAGACTAATTTCTGGATTGTAGCCTTGAGAGTTCCCTTGGATGCTATGCTCTATCTCCCGTCGGCAGTAGAAGGCTTGATTGGAGTGGTAAAGCATACACATCCCCCAGAAGCAGACCGGACCGAACCCAAATTGATGAATATCAAATTGGACATGGACGCTCAAGCGAGATTCAGGGTAGAAGGTACCTTGATCATTGAGTCTCCGAAAGGGGAATTGTGGTCGGTAGCCATCGCGACACCGTACTCAGAGTGGTGTAAATTTGTAAAAAGTGTCGATGGTATTTTCATACCGAAGATAACTGTCCAAGGCAAGGGGAGGCTCGTCCACGAGGATCCTGGGTAAACTCGAGACTGCCAAGACAGCAAGCATGGCAGCAGGAGGGCGGTCATATACAGCAGGAAGTTCCGATTTCCGGTAACGGACAACAGGCTCCGCAGCAACAGCAAGCCTCTTCGGTAGCAGTGGCGGGACGACCACACTTGGGGCCAGGCCCCTCGTGTGGAAGTTCACGAAGCCCAGGTACAGCCTTCACAGAGACCGGGGCAACAAGGACTCTCGGGCGCAGAGCAAGGTTGCACTTACACAGCGATTCCACCCCCCCCAGGAGTTCTCTAATGCCCCCATGGTCCCATCCCTCCACGTGGCCGTATGCAGGCCAGATGACTCCCTCTCTCAACCCCCTAGTCTTCCACCAGAACTACCCCAACCCCCCCTGTCCACACTATGGCATCCCGCAGGGTCACCTTAGTGGTCCTCCCAGCACATACTATCAAAACCCTCCACAGTACCTCTCTTTTAGCCCCGGCCCGGGCCCCGGTACCTGTCAAACAACACAGGGGCGGCCATACAATGGCCCCTGGGGTGAAGGAAGCAGTCAGACGACGCCGGTAAGGGCAACGCAGGGGGCAGGCCCGGGGAACTCTGGACTACAGAGGAGAAGTAGGACAGGAGATCTCGATGCTCAAGGGAGCCACGAGGAGTTGGGGAGGGATCAGTTGCAGAGGAGACTCATAGGAGGATTGGAAAGGGGTGAAGGAGAACGGCAAATGGCACTGTCATCGTCTTCTCAGTCAAGAATCGGGATGGGGAGCGATCTGATAGGAGACGATCCGCAGTTAGTGGGATCAGGGTTCCTGCAGGCGGAAACATCAGAATCCTCTACGGGAAGTTCCGGGGAGAGGCTGAGAAGTCGGGGAGGAGAAGACTCAGATACGTCAAGCGAAAGGGGTTACAGACATGTCCAGGGGCAAGGGAGATTACCGATAGAAAGAAGAATTGTTCCCCTGCTGTGCACGAAGCCGAGAGAAACGGCATTCTTCCTGGGTATGGCGAATGCAGAAGGGAGACCCTTCCTTCCGTCTGTACCAACTGAGGGCTCTCCACTACCGGGTGAAACCATTACCCACACAAATTTTTTCTTTGGAGAAGCGTTCCCCATCTGAATTATTCCAAGATCGGTGATGGTAAGTTGTGTGGTCCCCCTGGAGGACAGGGCCCTGAAGTTCTATTTCCCGCTGATTGACGCTCGTATCGACTCCCAGGCAGCAGACACCTTGCCCCAAGCTGGGGTGAGATGGTTTACACTGGATGCTGTCAGAGAACACAACAGTCATGAGTTAGATGCGATTGCACTGTCTCCAGAAGTATCAACAGTGCTCCTCTTGAAAGTTAATGAGAAGCTTCCTGAAGCTCAGAACTTCCACTCCAAGTTCCTACTAGACTCTCTGACAGAGGGGTGGAGATCCCCGTCACAGTCAGCCCAATCGAGAAGCGGGTCAGGACAAAATCCTTCGGCCCGTTCCTAAGCAAGGCCAGCAGTCAGATGGGGGGACGACCAGACCGAATCCCGCATCCAATCAACGGCGGAGGGAAGAAGAGCAAATGGTTAAGTTGAAAATTGCGACGTGGAACATGAGAGGCCTTGGCGATACGTCAGGCAGAGAGAAGAGGAAGAGGCTGAAATCCTATATCTTTTTTCAAAAAGTTGACTGCTGCTGCATTCAAGAGTCCAAGCTCAGCGATGAGAAACTACAGCAGATGGGAAAGTGGTGGGACGGCCCACAGTTTTGGTCCCCAGCACAAGGGACGAGGGGAGGAGTAGGGATCTTAATACATCGAGATGCTCAGATGCAGGTACTGGACTCGGAATCATACCTTTGGGGACGTTGGGTGTGGGTACATGTTGTAACAGGGCAGGAGGAGTGGACGCTGATGAGCATCTATGCCCCATCTGACCCTACCTCAAGAGTGGAGTTCTACTCAAACCTGAAGGCGGTAATTCCCCAGACTGATAACTTATTGATAACGAAAGATTGAAATATCTCCCTCGATGAAGCACTTTGCAGCGATTCCAGGGCAGCAGGAAGAAGAGATACAATTGCATTACTGGAATTAATGCAAGACCGCGAATGGACGGACCCATTCCGAGCACTGAACCCAGCGGATCCGGGATACACTTGGTTTTCAAACATTCGAAAGGAAAAAGGGGAAGTGACGAGGAGGAGGTTGGACTATTTTTTAACAGGAAAGGAGTTGACAGAGGGTCTGACACACATCAGGCAGGTACCTTACCCGTTGTCAGACCATAAACCGGTTATTGCAGATCTGATCTTGAGTCAGGGCTCGGAAAGGGGACGGGGGTACTTCAAGCTTAACCGCTTGAACTTAGAGGATTCGGGGCTGAGGGACTGGGTAAGGGATCATATGACCAGCTGGCACGCTGCAAGGCAGGATTTTAATTCAAATGCAGAATGGCTAGATGGAGGCGTGGCAATTATATCCGGAGTAATGAATGTTTGCTCGAGGATTCTAGTGAAGGGAAGGAACCAAGAAGAGGAGAGTTGCCTGAGGAAGGTGGAAGAGGCGGAGAGGAGGATGGAAGCACATTCGATTCCAGAATTAGTGTGGGCAGTAGTAAGAGAAGAAAGATTGGCAGAATGGGAACGGATGCAAGTAGAGAAACAGTCTGTGTGGGAGGAAACTTTGAAGACAAAAGGGATTATGGTCCATGACCGTATGACGAGGGAGACGTTTAGGAAGCTGCTACCAAGTTCCTCCTTTCACCAAGTCGTTCACTTGGATCATCCCTTTGATCCAGCGGCCCCACAGCAGGGACTCGTACAGAGATGGTTGAGTATGCTAGGTTGTATTACTCGGACATTCTGACCTCGCGGCGGCTGGATGACACTGTGGATACTGATCTTTCGCTGGAATCGAACATGTGGGAGGACACCACGGTGGTCTTGTCAGAAGCAGATTGCCTGTCGCTCGACCGACCGATCACGGTAGAGGAGCTGGGCCAGACTCTGAAACAGATAGCACCTGGTAAATGCCCAGGGAGGGATGGGCTCACTGTGGAGTTCTATAGGGCTTGTTGGGATGCGTTGGGGCCGGCCCTGGTAGAAGTCTATAATGAGATTCTGGTGGGGGGAAAGTTGGGGGAGATGATGACACATGGAGTCATCTCAATCATGTTCAAGAAAGGAGATAAAGCCTCGATCCGCAATTACCGCCCGATCTCCAATTTGAATGTGAACTATAAGATTCTGGCAAAATCTCTGGCCCTTCAGTTGGGGAGGATCCTCCCAAAACTGGTGGAAAGAGACCAAGGAGCTTTTGTACAAGGGAGGTCCATCTTCATCAATATTCTGACGGCAATCGAGAGCATCGAGGAGTTCCAGGCAGAGAACCTAAACGTCGTCGTTCTGCGATTGGACATGGAGACGGCGTATGACAGCGTGGGTTGGTCATTCATGCTGACGACTTTAAGAAAGATGGACTTGGTCAAAGTTTCTGCAGATGGGGCATTGCTATGTATACCGTAGCTACTTCGGCGGTACAGGTGAATGGCCATCTGTCGAGACCCTTTACCCTGACGAGATCCTTGCGACAGGGCTGCCCGTTGGCCGCGCTTCTCTTTGTCCTACAGCCGGAGGTTCCGCTTAGCAGGATTAGGAAGCATCCGAACATTCAAGGCTTACAGATCGCAGAGAACCAGGAATGTCGGGCAAAGGCGTTGGCGGATGACCTATGCTTGATGTCAGTCATTTCATTAGAATCCCTAGAAGCACTGAAGGGGGTACTGGCAGACTACTGTTGGCTTTCAGAGGCTCTGGTCAACTGGAATAAGTCGACCTTCCTCCTACCAGAGGAGTACTCTCTGCAGGTCGAGTGGGGTATGCAGCGTGTGGTGCCAGAGGAGGGAGAAAGGTTCCTGGGCGTCATGGTCAGCACGAGGCTAATGAAAGATACTCAAGGATCTATTTTGCAGCAAAGAGTCTCAGACAGATTGAGGAGGTGGGGTTCGGCCTGGCATCTCTCACTGTTTGGGCGTGCCTTGGTGATAAACGTGGCCCTATTCTCCTTGATCTGGTTCGTGGGAACAGTGAGAGAAGTAGCCCAGGCAGTATGCTAAGAAATCAGGAGGTTGGCCACAAAGTTCTTGTGGAAATCGAGGGCTACAGCGGAGGAGGGGTTCATGGTGAAGGTAGCCTGGGATCTGATTATATTTCCTAAAGACCAAGGGGGGCTGGGCCTAGTGGATCTGTGTCAGAAAAAACAAGCCCAACTGCGTAAATGGATTGCTAATGTAGCTATGGCGGAGGTCAAGGATGATTGGATCCTATTGGTGGAAAGGATCTTGATGAGAGAATGGAAGCTCAGTAGGTCAGAGGACATGTGGACCTGTTTTTTTGTGAAATCCTTCCTTCGGAAGAAGCTTTCCTCGGAATTCTCGGAAGCAGTAAGGAGAATCTGGGTTAAGCACATTCCTGATGAGAGAGCCCCGCCGACAACAAGGGAGGAAGTACTGGGGCAATGCATGTTCGAGAATCCACGGGTGCTCAGGCCTGATGGCAGCACCTTTTCTGCAGGATCTGAAGCCTCGGCGTTCGGTCAAGCATGGACCAGAAGAGGAGTGTCCAAGGTGACAGATTTGTGGTCCGAACTAAGGGGCTCCTGGAAAACATTCGAGGAAGTCCACCCCCTGCTCCAAGGCCTCTGGCACACGGAAGAGCACTGGAGAGAGCTGTAACAAGCGATCCCAGATCAGTGGAAGGCTATATTGGGCCCAGAGGGCTTAGATCCGACCGGGACCTGGTATGCTGCAAATGGCCCAGAAGGAGATAGAGTGATTTGGAGAGTCCAGAACCGTACTCCCAGTGGCTTCAGGGAAGTTCAATGTTGGAGACCAGCTCAGCACTCGAACCAGCTGATACTGGTAGTAGAGGAGACAATCAGGCAATGGTGCAATTCCCCCCAAGCAAGAGTTATTCAAAGGTTTAGTCGAAAGGGGAAACTACTGTCCACAGAGTGGGTCGGTGTGGTCTCACTCCGCCAGCAGACAATTGATCCAGTGGCTTGGAGTTGGAGGTGGGAAGGTCAGGCCCTTGCCAACCCACAAGTGATGGATCTGTCTAACTACTCTGTCCATCAGTCATATAGGTTGGCTGGCTGTCGCCTCAGAAGTCCAGCCACAGTGACGGTTTCGAGATGGAGTGCAGTGCTGCTAGAGGACATGCAGGGATCAGAGAGTAGGTTCCTTAAGTTGTGGAGCACGCTGCTGGTCCTTCCGGACCTCAAGCAAGCCAACCTGCTCTGGATGCTATCTCTGATGGTGACTCCGTCAGCGGTCTGGTTGTGCAGCAAGGGTATGGAGGTAAAGATGAGCTGCCCACGATGCTCTTGGCCATTCGAATCCACTAAGCATCTCTGGTGGGACTGCCCCACGTCCAGGAGAGTGTGGAAGTGGTGGGAGGATCATTGGAACCGGTTTGGTGGGGAAGGGGTGGAATGGAATGAGCGGTGGGCTCTGCTGGGGTTCGTGGAAGAGGACCATACAGGGAAGAAGAGTTGGCCGTATGTGGCCCAGGTAGCCCGGGCAGTGATCTGCTCCGTGATATGGGCAGACAGGAATCGGGTCAGACTCGAAGGCGGACCTTTCTCGGATTTGGAGATTAAGGCAGGTATTAAGAAGGGTCTGAAAAGGGCAATCTGGGCAGACTGGCAGAGGAGAGCAAAAAAAGGGAAGACCCCAAGGCAGATGTTGTGGTGGTTCTAACGAACCTGGGCCAAAGGCAACCACCTCGCAGGGGTGCACAACGTTAGAGGCCTGGTGATCTCAAAGTGGCTGACTAGTTAGATACCAGTAGGATCACGCGTTAGTGGTGACTGCGGGGAAGAACCAGGGTATCTCGGTTCTAGGTTCGGACCGCAGGAGGTCAATATGGGGAGGAGGGTGGAGAGTGCCATGCAACTTGGAACAGGGTTCCAACCGGCCGCATGAGGTCGGTGTCAGGCCTTGTAGGCTTGTGTAATAGGAGATGAGAAGTAGGAATCGTTGAATAAGAATAGTTCTAGTAGATAGGTTGGTAGGGGAGAGTTTCGGGTGTACGGTAGGGGAGTGCATAAGCTGATAAAGCTCTTATTAGAAGGATTTGTCGGGTTTCATTCTACTATTAGAAGTCATTGAATTGTTACTGAGTGTTCTGAGAAAGGTTCGGCCCTGAGGGTTATAAGCTAAACCGGCTGATGCTGTCGGCATAACTCCGGGTTGAATTGTGAGGTCCCCGGCCTCGTGAACATTGGTTTCGAATATAATTGCTCGTGGGTTTAAAAAAAAAAAAAAAAAAAAAAAAAAAGTT